TTTCTCAAGGCAAAGAAGAAAGTAAAACATGTAAGAGATGAGAAGCCACCGGTTGACTCTCCAGGGTTTGATGATTGGGAACAAGAAGATGCTCAAATCATGACTTGGTTGTGGAATAGTATGGAGCCCAAAATTAGTGCCAACTTCATGAAGAAGGTTATGCGTAGCAGAGAGAGACGAGCTATGATGTTTTTGACCTAGGGCGAACCAGTTCTCTCCATTGACTGACCAGAAACGAAGGAGAAGAGTCAYGAACMCTKCTGAGGYGCTTTACCAACTGAAGTAGGTCAGGAGCATGGCTCTGACCATGTTTCAACTGGTGCTACAGTAGTCCGAACCAGAAAGAGAAGAAGAAGAAGAAGAAGAAGGGTCTGTCGAAATCTGATGGGTTACTCCTTCAGTCAACCCCCTTAATCTATATTAGACTCTAATAAGCTTTACAAAGACAAAAATGCCCTTACTTAAGTGTGGGGCAAAGTAACTCTAATAACACTACCACATAAGCAAGCTACTTAACAAACATAAGAAGACTAAACTACCCCTATTCGGCACACTTTAACAGACCTTTTTTTCTCTATTTCTCCTCAAGGGAGAGTAGGGTTAAGGAGAAATATATTCAGGTTGAGCTTCCTCCTCTTCCTAATCCTCATTCGTTTTGTGTCTTATTTTGTCGTCGCAAGGATCAGTTGAGTTCAAGAGACATGGAGCATCTGGAAGTTGTATCATACTATCACCAACATCATTAGATTCCTTAGGGGCAGATCCTACCCAACTAGGTATTCTTATTCCCATTGATGTGTTTGATCCTATTGCCATTGATACTTCTACTGTTGATGACCTAGACTTTCCTATTGCTCAAAGGGAGTTAGGTCTGCACTACCATGCATCCCATTTCCCATTTTGTTTCTTGGAGAACATCTCACATTCTTTTTGTGCCTTCTTCTCTTCCATTGACAATGTCTCTATTCCTAAAAATGTGCAGAAGCTCTCTTAGTACCTAAATGGACAAATGCAATGAAAGAACAATTCAATGCTTTACATAAAAATGGCACATGGGAATTGGTAGATCTTCATAAAGGAAAGGAACCAGTGGATGTTATAGTGAAACATAGGGGAGATGGCATAATGGAAAGATATAAAGCCCGATTAGTAGCAAAAGGGTTTACTCAGGTGTATAGAGTAGATTATGTAGAGATTTTTTCTCTAATAGCTAAGATAAACTCTATCAAAGTCCTTTTTTGTCTAGCAGCTAACCTTGATTGGGATGTTCATCAGTTGGATATCAAAAATGTCTTTCTCAACAATGATCTTGAAAAAGAAGTGTACATGGTGCAACCCCCTAGTTTCCATGCTCAAGGCAATGAGGAGAAGTGTGTAGGCTAAAAAAGTCCCTATATGGCCTAAAACAATTACCAAAGGGCTTGGTTCAGCAAGTTTCATTTAGCCATGTAGCAGATAGGCTACAACCAATGTTAGTCTAGTCATACATTATTTGTGGAAAGAGGGGAAGGTAAAATTGCATCATGATATATGTTGATGGCATAGTAAACACTAGTAATTGGAAAGCTAAAATTCAAAAGCTGAAGAAGTTCCTTGCTACTTAGTTTGAGGTGAAATATCTAGGTTCCTTACGGTAATTTCTTGGAATTGAAGTTGCCTGTTCACAAAAGGATCTTCATTTCACAAAGGAAATACATCCTAGATCTGTTACAAGATTTAGAAAAGATACGGGTGAAGCCAATTGACTCCCACATTGATCCAAATTACAAATTGGGTGACTATCATGGTAAGACTATCAAATATGTGAAGCAATTTCAAAGACTGGTGGGAAAGTTTCTATATTTGTCCATGACCCAGCCAGACATTCCTTATGTTGTGGGTGTTCTTAGTCAATTCATGCATGCCCTAAGACTGCTCACTAAGAAGCAACCAAGAGAATCCTCAAATACCTCAACAAGTATGGGCATTTGAAGGTTAAAGTGTATACAAATGCTGATTGGGCTAGATTTGTTGATGATAGAAAATCCACCACTTACTAGGCTAGATCTGCTACTTAGGCTAGATCTTAGTCAATTCATGCATTCCCCTAACACCACTCACTTAGAAGCAGCCAAGAGAATCCTTAGATATCTCAACAAGTTCCTAGGGGCTGGTTTATTGTTCCAAAAGCATGGGCATTTAAAGGTTGAAGTGTATACAAATGTTGATTCGGCTAGATCTATTGATGACAGAAAATCCACCAATGGTTATTGTACCTTTAGGAACCTAGTTAGATGGAGAAGCAAGAAAGAAATGTTGTGGCTAGGTCTATTGCTGAAGCTGAGTACTGGGCAAATGTCTCATGGAGTGGTTGAGATTATGTCGATAAAAAATTTGTTGAGTGAGCTAGGATTTACAGTTGATAATCCCATGTCCTTATATTGTGATAATAAGACTACTATCAACACTGTAGCCAACCCTCTTCTCCATGATAGAACAGATGTGATTCATTCCAATAAAAGAATGGTAAAATATTTCAGATTATAGGAGAAAAGAAGAAGAAGAAGAAGAAGAAGAAGAAGAAGAAGAAGAAGAAAAAGATGGAGAATAAGGGAGAAATAAGGAGAAGTTCAATAATCTCCTCTCACCCCTCACTAATTCTTTTATTAATCTCCATTAACTAGGTTAATTGCAAATCTGCCCTTAAGTGGGTGGCCAGCTAAGCAAGAACTTATAAAAGATATTAACAGGCCCATAAAGACAGGTCCATTAACATACAAAACAAATAGCATATTACTTAAACATGAAAACAGATATTAGGACCCATTCAGCCCAGTCTCTCTACAAGAACCAAGCATATTGAGGTGGACAAACACTTTAATAGGGAGAAACCTGTTAGTGGAGCAGTGTGTACTCCTTATGTCAGTTCTGAAGAGCAGCTTGCAGACATCTTCACAAAGGACCTACATCACTTTTGGCATAATGATTTATGTGATAAGTTGGGCATGATTGACATCTATGTCCAAACTTGAGGGGGAATGTTAAAAAAACTGCCATTGGTTCACTTTTAGTGGACAAACTGTTCTCCACTCTTTCTTCTCTTCTCTTCTCTTGTTGCTTTCCACTATTATTTTTCAGGTTAATAGATGTAATGAATGGGGAAGTGATTTTGGTAATTTCTTGAATGCCAATTTTCCTGTAGCAATTAAATGGTTAGTGCCAAGGTTTAAACAAGTTGGGCATACCAGTGAAATGCAATAATGATCTCCACAATTTAATGCTTATGACCCCCCCCCATACATGGTACACTACATCGCAAATTGTTTTCACTTGTTTTTAACACTTCAGAAACAACTGTAGAACTGTACTCCCATTTGTACCCTCTCCAAAGAAATATGACAAGTGCAAATAGGGTTGTACAGTAAAACTGAACTAAATTTACACTCCCATGAATTTGCACCAGTGCACAAGCATTTTGTATAACTTAAGTAGAACTATTTGAGATGAAGAGATAAATTAAAACAAAATATTTGAGTTTCAAATATCAGGGYTTATAATGTCAATTGTGTTTTAACAAACAATTAAAAATTCAAGTCAATATACTGCACTGCACTGCAGTGCATCTAACAGGATTTATATAAAACAAGGGGAGAGAACTAAAAAAAATGTAAACTACAGCATCAAGGATTAAGGAATTGTTTAAAAATACTACTGTTTTCATAAATTAAAATCTTGGGATGCTAGTATACCTTCATTTCAGTAATATATGTATAAATTAATTGTTAAGAAACTGTAAGCTTGAAAAGTGAAATACAATTTATCTTCTAGCTCAAAGACATGAGAAATTCTCATGGTGAAGAAAGAGATGAAAATTTTCAAGACATTTTTGGTGAAGGCAAGGAACCCAAAATTTATGTAATAATCTTTTACTACAGTAAAACAAAAGGAATAATCCAGGACAAAATCCACAATAAACCCTGTTTAGATCCAGGAATATGTGTTTTATTAGCAACCTTCCATGGAAATAGTGAGAAAATTAGATAATTTTATTTGTTGAAGTCAATAAATTTAAACACTAATGAATGACAAGAAGAATGAAAATTCCTAAGCACGAAAATATGTTATGTCAACATAAACATATTACTATAATAGGTCCATAACTTTTGTTAAGAATGTTAGTTTGGTGGAAAAGCATTTCATACTGTAGGCACTCATCCAGATCTAATTACTGAAATAGAAAATTAGTAGAGGCATATTGAATGACATGTTAGGGATATTACAATGCCCCTAAACATGTCATCTGATAGGTTTTGGGTAAGAAGAGGTTCTGTGAGAACTCAGGAAGGGGAAATCAACATGATTTTTGATAGACAGAGCACAATGGCGGGACAGATTTGTGTAGTTGACACAAAATAGTCGGGATTAAGGATGATTTGAGTTAAGGTATATTGAATGTTCAAAAGTAGAAATGACTCTAATGGATGCCTAAACTTCTTAGTAGTGTCTTTGTGAATGAAATGGTGAAGGCTGTGAATACAAAAATACATACCAATTTACGCATCAAACGCTCAAAGCACCAAAATGCATCTGCTTCATTTTCGAGGAGAATTATCATTGGAGAGCAAAGATCACTCATTCCTGGTCAGCAATTTTAAAAAATTCATATGTTTCACTATTGTGTTTTGAACAGTAAACAGGGAAGCAATTACAGAACTGGACTCTTAAATTTGCTAGAAAAACAAAGATATCTTTGTTACAGTCATTATATGGTTCATTCTAGTCTCATAAATCACCCAATTCTGTCACTTAATGAGCAATTACATTTCCTAGATACAACAAGGGTACGACACACCTACAATGTAGATGTAACGTGTGGTGTTGATATTGAACTATTCCACACAAATGCTGCACTCATTTTAAGTATTTGTCTAGCATAGCTCAGAAATTACAAAAGAAAATGTAGAGAGACCAGACCGAATGGACCCTAGTACCTTTTTAGTTCTTATCTTTTTATTGTTTTTGTTGTGTCTATGTTAATGGGCCTTATCCATATGGGACTCTTAACCTTTTTAGTCTTTTCTTATGTTATGTTATGAGCTGGCTGCCCCATTAAGGGAATCTTTGTAATTATAATCATTAAGTGAAGATTAATAAAAGTGATTAGGAGAAAGGAGAGAGGACTGATCGAACTCTTTTCTCCTTCTCCCCTCCTCTTCTCCCATCTTCTTCTTCCTCTTCTTTTCTTCTATCTTCTCTCTTTTCTTCTACTTTCAGATTAAAATGTTCTTTTTTTTTTCTTTTTGGGTTGATTCACATCTTGGTATCAGAGCAACCCTTTCTATTTTCTTCTTCCTCTTCGTTCCCATACACCCTTCGATTGGAAGAGTGAATGGAAAGTTAGGTTGCTGATTATTCTTAGTTGGTTGTTACCTAGTTGGAGAAGGGTTTGGAGATCCAGAATCTAATGATTAGAATGCCAAGAAGTTGCTGTCTTTTATCTTTCCCAAAACCCTAGCCAACTAGAGAGATTCACAGCTAAGTGCGAAGGAGATTGAGTTAGGCCGGCACTCAAGGCTTGGCAGGTGTCCACAGCTTGTTGTTTGGTTCCATTAACCAAATGCTAGATGGGGCATCTAGTATTGTCCCTTGTTGGCTGAGTTACAAACCCACTGGCAAACCCAAAAAGGGCAAGTGATCTTGCAGGGTTGATTGCATTCAATAACCAACCTCACAAATAAGCAACTTATTATTCAAATCCAGTCAATCATTACTAAGTAGAATTAATGAAGCTCCAATGTTTGACTACTCACCTTGACAGTATCCAACATCTTTATCTAGCCAGGCATAAACTGCCAGAATATCCCAAAGTTTTGATAAATTTTCTTGTTTCTCATAAAAAACTAATGTCCTGTCAGTTCGAACTACATCAAGACCTGGCATAAATCAAGTCAATTATAAAGTCACAAAAAATGGCAAAACATGGAAAAAAGTTACATCTTAACATCTTGCTTTGAAGACTACTCATGGCAAAACATGGAATGTAGCATACATGTAGTTTCTGTGTTACTGCAATAGTTGCAGAAGATGGTAAGATCAATAATAACAAAACTTGATGATAACATAAAAATCTAGGGACTTGTATGAATAAACTGTATGCTGATATGCATTTCCCCATTAAATTGAAAATTCGAATTCAAATTGTGACCATAACAGCCAAAGAGCATCATAAGTTTATAAGCTGAATTAGGTTGCATAGTTTCAGTTCTCAGTTTATGAAGGCTAAATAAAGAACCACATATTAGTTTTCAATAAATGTGAAACTAATAGTATCTGAGCTGAAGTTAACAGGTACTTGTTGGTAATAGTTTAGTAGAGAAAAAAATGGTCTACCTATTTGATGTAGAGTGAGCTTCCATTGAATTATTTTCTTCTCCCGAATAACTTCACCTTTTGGCTTGTTTACACTTTCCGATGCATTTGAACTTGCACTATCTAATGTAGTATCATGTGATTCATTGCTAACTGAACCATCACAATTTTCTTCTGTGGTTGAAGCAGACCCTTTATCTGGATTTGCTTCTAAAAGTACTAAAGGATCTTGAATAGGTTCACCATCTTCAGTGATTAAGGGTGCTGTGATAATTCTTCCACTGCCAACAACAGGATCCATCTGCCTGCATTCTTCTTTCCACATAGCATATTTCACCCTGAAGTTGCAAATACAAGAATACAATCATATAAAAAAGTAGGTCTCAATCCCCTAACATGTGCATCAAAAAGCATGGTTTCAAACCAAAAATAAGCATTTAAATAAGATAGAGATCTCCCTACCTACCCTGCTCTCTCTTTTTAGCTCCAAATTAGAGGCTATGGATAACCTAAGCGTAGGTTTACGTTTTGTGGTACCTTTAAATAGGTCCAAGCCTGAGCCTTCCTTTCTACAATACAAACTTTGTCTTGAAAATGATTGTAGACTTAACATTTGACCCTAACCCATATTATCTTCGTCTCTCCTTTTGGTTTATCAACCGATGCAGATAACATGCAGCATTTAGCTTTAAAATGGATTACCTTCGACGTTGGCGTATCTCCTCTCGTTCTTCAAAGGTGCTTTCAGGGTCATAACATCCAAGTAAGAATTCCCAAACTTCTCCTCTTATTGAGGGATGAATACCCTAAGTTTGTCCAAAAGACAAAGACAATAATCAGACATTTTTTTTTAAGTTTGTTTCTATAAACACTGGTAGAAACAAAAATGCTGTAGTTAGAAATTCATCACTAAATGCTTATTATTCTATCTAAATATTCCAATAAAATAAATAGGAGATCAGTGTATTACCCAACATCAGTGAAAACATGTTTATTAACTAACAATTCAAGAAGATCTTGTTCGTAATCCTTCGACAAATGATAATACTGATTGCAAACTACCCCAAAGGTACCAATTGCAGAACTTGGACATTTGGACAAGGATATGGATTCCAGACACATCATTTTAGTGGTAAAAATACTAGTGTCAGGCAGATCAAACTCTATGACATGTACCCACATCTCACACCCATTCCAAACCCATGCAACATTCGATATTTTGATAATTAGAAAAAGCAATTACATTAAGGGAAAAAAGAGAAAGTGCAAGGAATCCTTTACTCCAAGAGGCAATGGGAGAACAACAAAGACAAAGATACAAAGAACCTCTCAGTTAGTAAACAAATTCTCTTAAAACCCCTTCCTATCATTTACCAAGCATGGAATCCATGAGAAGAAGAAGTTTAAGGAAGTCACAGACAATTTTGCAAAGAATAAGGTCGATCATATGTAACTGGACTTTCCCATATGAATGACCATAGAAATGGATAAAAAAGTTGAATATGAAACTAATAGATAAATATAAAATTCTGAAATTTCTTGTTGAACAAACCAAAATTCTGACATGTAGGTTTTGAACCATTTGGCTTGTTTACATGAAATTTCTGATCAGTCACAACCAAAGTAACTATTTAACCCTCAAAGCATTCGTTAGCATCAGTGCCAGATAAAGAGAGACCTTATATTTGACTGGAAAGTTAAGAGCTTTGACAGAAAACACATTGGAATTGAGACAGATAGATTATATGCAGAAATGAAGTAACCTTTCCTGATGTAGGACGAAAAAGGTGGGTAAAGAAGGGGAATTAGGGATATGAATTATGAGAGAAAAAGATTTAGATCAGAAGAGGGATGAGAAAGAGAAAGAAAAGAATAAACCTTTAGAAGAAAAGAGAGAGAAGATAACATTCTTATCTGTAGGAAACTCCAGACAAACTTTTCATTCTACTTAATGCTAAAATTTCAATTCTATTTATGGACTAAACAGAAAGGTTAGGGTCCTTCTTTACAAACACCAATTTAGAATGAAAATTTGACCTAAAACTTCTGACTGCTTCAAAGGACACACTAAGAGAGGGATAAGCATACCACAGATCTCCTTTTTGGAATCATTAGTGTAAGAGCACATGGTATGCACATGTGCAAGTAAGTATTAACCATATATGATATATGATTGGATTTAAATTTTGTGACCTGCACAGAATCCACGGAAAGTATCTACTTTATATAGTATAGATATCAGAAGTGTTAATTTTCTCATAAAATATCTCCTAATCAGAAAGTTTCAATTTTGGGTGGGATAGGTCTAAACCAAACCTGTTTCATTGGAAAGAGTCATCCATGTGGGACAGGATATTATCTCAAAGAAAGAGGCACATGAAAAATAACCTAAGAGGGAGGAAAAATCCAACTATTAGACTTAAGGGGGCCAAGGAATACACCTTCAAGGACCTGAAGAAGATTAAGGACATAAGGAAGTTTTAGAGTCCCTAACACCCTCCTGAAACCAAAGCTCCACCCAAACCCACCACCAGAGGTAGATGAAACAAGAAATTTTCACACAAGTTCACCTTTAAAGGAAAACAAAGCATAAAGATTGGGGTAAAGGTATTATAAGGGAGACTACCCCACCCAGATGTGCTCCCAAAATTTAACTTTATTACCCAAAGACACATCATACTATTGGACAGTTTTGTATGCCCTTAGCTTCAATCAGAATGATGTACTTTATGAGTTTATTGTAAATGAATAAAAGTGCATATTTGATTCATG